TTGAAAGCAAAGGTCAACAAACTGATCGAAACTGTGAACGCCAAGAAATCCAGACTCCACCTGCCAAAGATTATTGGGGAATATAAACCTGGATATGCGTATGGAAATGTCAAGACACACAAGTCTGGAAACCCACTTCGGCCAATCATCAGCCAGATACCCACACCCACGTACAAACTGGCGAAGCGACTTAACGGCCTGCTGACTCCTTATGTGCCTTGTGCCTTCTGCCTGAAGTCTCCAAAGGAATTTGTTGACTTACTGCGGGGCACACGGGCCACAGGGATAAGAGCCTCGTTGGACGTAGAATCACTGTTTACCAACGTACCTGTGGACGAGACAATCGGGATGATAGCCGACAGAGTGTATCGTGATCCGGCCTGCACTCCTCTTGACATACCAGAAAACATCCTAAGGAAACTACTCCAAGCTTGTACTAAAGAGGCACCCTTCTTGAGCCCGGATGGGCACATGTATAAGCAAGTAGATGGGGTCGCCATGGGTTCTCCTCTAGGTGTCCTGTTTGCAAACTTCTACATGGGTACCATCGAGCAAAAAGTCTTAGTCGAAATGAACTTGAAACCGGCCATATACTGCAGGTATGTTGACGACATTTTTACACAGGTACCTGATGTCAGACATCTGCAGGAGCTGAAGGAGGCATTTGAGCAGAGTTCCGTGCTGCGTTTCACTTACGAGATGGAAAAGGATGGGAAGCTGCCCTTTCTAGATGTAACAGTCATGGAAAAGAGCGGAGGTTTTCACACTGCAGTCTACACTAAGGAAACGAACATAGGAATGTGCCTAAATGCCAACAGCGACTGCCCAGACAGGTACAAGAGGAGTGTTGTTAACACTTATGTCGACCGTGCTCTCAGCCACAGCTCAGGATGGAAGCAAGTCGACGAAGAACTCTGTAGGGTAAGGCAGGTCCTAGTCAACAACGGCTTCTCCAATGGTTTCGTCGAAGACATCATAAGAAGGAAAGTGAAACGCCATGCAACCTCTGAAGAGACAACTAACACAACACCTATACCCCCTATTAGACTTTTACAGGAACTTCTTTTCCACAGCTCATAAAACGGAGGAAAGGGTCCTGAAAGATATTGTTAATAGAAACGTTATCCCTACAGACAAAAATCAGAGGATACAACTGACAATTTACTATAAAACCAGAAAAACGGCCAGCCTACTCATGAGAAACTCCAGACACAAAGCAGACCGTCGTCTATGCCTTCAAATGCCCTCTTGGGGACTGTAAGCTCCAAAAAAAACAGTATATAGGCAAGACAACAACAACTCTTTCTAGGCGTTTAACGATGCATAAGCAACAGGGCTCCATTAAGGAACATATAATCTCTTCCCACAACCAAACCATCGCCAGAGAAATCCTAGTAAACAACACAGAAATCATCGATAGATACAGCAACAGCAGGCGGCTTGACGTCTGCGAGGCTCTACACATCAAGAAGTCAACACCAGCAATCAACAGCCAATTAATGCACAACTATATTCTACCCACCTCAAGACTCCGCTCCAATATAGAAGCATCAAGAAATATGGACCAATAGGCTTTCTACAAATCACTTCCATTCAATATCCATTGTTTCGTGTTCTGTCTTGTGTTTAGGAATTTAATACCCTATTAATACCACCTCACCCCATCCACCTCACTCAAATGTAGATATAAACAAATCGAAGATGTGTAAGTTCTATTCAGTTGTTTATGTGTAAGCTAAAGTCTTTGAAAATGTAATAAGTTTTACGAAACGCGCTCAAGTGTCGCGTCAGACTAGAAATATAAATGAATTTTGGAGAATTGATTTTTGAATTACCACTAACAGTGAAAAGAAACATACGAAAGATCGAGAAAATTCGTGTTAGAATTATTAATCTTACTTTTCCGGTCATATTTAATAATATATGTCTACAGGAAAGACTGCTACCAAAATATACTAATATATATATATATATATATATATATATATATATATATATATATATATATATATATATATATATATATATATATATATATATATATATATATATATATATATATATATATATATATATATATATATATGTGTGTGTGTGTATATCACGAAAATAAACACGTGATTAAGAATGTGACAATGTCAGACCACGGAGGAAAAATGAAACAGGTAATTTCCTTAAGTACTTTCGTATATTAAATACATCTTCAGAAGGTCATTTTACAGATCGAGCTGATGACCTTCTGAAGATGTATTTAATATACGAAAGTACTTAAGGAAATTTCCTGTTTCATTTTTCCTCCGTGGTCTGACATTGTCATATATATATATATATATATATATATATATATATATATATATATATATATATATATATATATATATATATATATATATATATATATATATATATATATATATATATATATATATATATATAAAAGCAGGAAGGAGACGTGTGAGGTGACAATACCTCTGTAATATGGGCCGAGGAACATAACAGGATGAAGCACCACTAGGCCTAGTGACCAACACGTGGGATGTTGTTGTTGTTAAAGACTCGCTACCTGGAACAGTTCTAAGTAGCACGGGCTATGGTGAGCCCGTAGTGCCTTTAACACGGGGGAGTTCCCTGTACCGACACTCAGAACGGCAGCTGTGTTAATGATCTTACTCAAAATAGTTTTCTACTTGTTCAAGTGTTGCATTAGTAATGTCTTAAAATTCTACCAAACATTAGTAAAATTTGAAGAATCAACGCTCCAGTAACCCGGTAACAACCCTCTAACCACCGGTAACAACCCTCTAACCACCAGTAACAACCCTCTAACCACCAGTAACAACCCTCTAATCACCAGTAACAACCCTCTAATCACCACTAACAACCCTCTAACCACCGGTAACAACCCTCTAACCACCGGTAACAACCCTCTAATCACCAGTAACAACCCTCTAACCACCGGTAACAACCCTCTAACCACCGGTAACAACCCTCTAATCACCAGTAACAACCCTCTAACCACCGGTAACAACTCTCTAACCACCAGTAACAACCCTCTAACCACCGGTAACAACCCTCTAATCACCAATAACAACCCTCTAACCACCGGTAACAACCCTCTAATCACCAGTAACAACCCTCTACCCACCAGTAACAACCCTCTAACCACCAGTAACAACCCTCTAACCACCAGTAACAACCCTCTAACCACCGGTAACAACCCTCTAATCACCAGTAACAACCCTCTAACCACCAGTAACAACCCTCTAACCACCGGTAACAACCCTCTAATCACCAGTAACAACCCTCTAACCACCGGTAACAACCCTCTAATCACCAGTAACAACCCTCTAACCACCGGTAACAACCCTCTAATCACCAGTAACAACCCTCTAATCACCGGTAACAACCCTCTAATCACCAGTAACAACCCTCTAACCACCGGTAACAACCCTCTAATCACCAGTAACAACCCTCTAACCACCAGTAACAACACAATAATTACCTCTGGAACAAACTCTGCGAATGAGCTCGTCAGCGGTTTGTTTGTTCCATTTAAAGAATTAACGACAGTTGACAGTCAATCCTAGGGGGGGGTGTAGGGGGAGAGGTAGGGGGGTAGGGGGTAGGGGGGGCGTTAATAATAGGCTGGCAAATGGGTTCAGCTTCCTTGAAATAGGTAATTATCCGTCAATCAACTTCTTAGTCTATTCACATCTACCTATGAACACACTGAAATCTACCTTATAAATCTGTTCAGATCTACCTTATGAATCTGTTTAGATCTACCTTATGAATCTGTTTAGATCTACCTTATAAATCTGTTTAGATCTACCTTATAAGTCTGTTTAGATCTACCTAATAAGTCTGTTGAGATCTACCTTATGAATCTGTTTAGATCTACCTTATGAATCTGTTTAGATCTACCTTATACATCCACAAGAGAGAGGTATTGTTCAAGATCGTAAGGTAGACAGATAGACGTAAATATCTTAACGGTAGATGACAGCATGGTAAAGCTATGCGTATGTCATCATCGTAGAGGTAGATAGGTAGATCTCAATATCGTGAAAGGCAGAAAGTTGATAACAACATCGTGGATGTTGATAGGTAGATATCATTATCTTTGAGACATATATGTGGACCTCAACATCGTAGAGGTAGATAGATATCGCAATCGTAGAGGTAGATAGATATCACCATCGTAGAAGTAAATAGATAGTTCTCAACATCAGCTTCACTAAAACATGTGTTGTCGACCAGCAATACACAAATACAGTGTATTGTGAATATCAAATACAATGCACAATACACTAATTTACTTTTGTCTCTACAACCTATACAATCCTATATATATACAGGAGGGTATATGTATATTATCTTGTCTATACAACTTATACAATCCTATATATATAGGAGAGTATATGTAAGTTCTCTTGTCTATACAACTTATACAATCCTATATATATGAGGGTATATGTATATTATCTTGTCTATACAACTTATACAATCCTATATATATAGGAGGGTATATGTAAGTTCTCTTGTCTATACAACTTATACAATCCTATATATATAGGAGGGTATATGTAAGTTCTCTTGTCTATACAACTTATACAATCCTATATATATAGGAGAGTATATGTAAGTTCTCTTGTCTATACAACTTATACAATCCTATATATATAGGAGAGTATATGTAAGTTCTCTTGTCTATACAACTTATACAATCCTATATATAAGAGGGTATATGTAAATATACATTTTATTTGTATATGAGCTGCGAAGATAAATGATTGTAAAGATTAATTATATTGGAGGCGGATTTGGTATCGTTCAGGCTGATAATCAGCAAATTGATCAAGTGGATCAGGACGTTGATCAAGTTGATCAGTTGATCAGGATGTTGGTTCAGTTGATCAAGTGATTACAAACACAGGGGTTTAGATATTTTAGCTACTCACTAATAGCCAAAACTCGCTAATCCATTAGCAAGTGACCCTATGATTAGTGATCCTATGATTTGTGATCCTATGATTCGTGATCCTATGGTTCGTGATCCTATGATTAGTGATCCTATGATTAGTGATCCTATGATTAGTGATCCTATGATTAGTGATCCTATGGTTCGTGATCCAATGATTAGTGTTCCTATGATTAGTGATCCTATGATTAGTGATCCTATGATTAGTGATCCTATGATTAGTGATCCTATAGTTCGTGATCCTATGATTAGTGATCCTACGGTTCGTGATCCTATGGTTCATGATCCTATGATTAGTGATCCTATGATTAGTGATCCTATGGTTAGTGATCTTATGATTAGTGATCCTATGATTAGTGATCTATTGATTAGTGATCCTGTGATTAGTGATCCTATGACAGGAGGAAAATATAGGGCGACAGATTGACAAATCAAAGCTGTTTTCTCTCACACTTAAAGCGCCCGAATATTGACGCTATTTAATCACAACGTAAAGATTCCGATGCCTTAGTTAAGATTAAGACCTCCGTCTAATTGACGCATTCTCAAGGCTGTTATGCGCTGGCTTAAAAGTTTACTTTAAAGTAAAATACAAAAAAAAACTTTTGCAGGTAATTCTGACGTGAACACGTGTGTGAAACAGGTGTTATGTGTTCCGTTGTGATGAAGACACGTGTGTGAAACAGGTGTTATGTGTCCGTTGTGATGAGGACACGTGTGTGAAACAGGTGTTATGTGTTCCGTTGTGACGAAGACACGTGTGTGAAACAGGTGTTATGTGTCCGTTGTGATGAAGACACGTGTGTGAAACAGGTGTTATGTGATCCGTTGTGATGAAGACACGTGTGTGAAACAGTTGTTATGTGTCCGTTGTGATGAGGACACGTGTGTGAAACAGGTGTTATGTGTTCCGTTGTGATGAAGACACGTGTGTGAAACAGTTGTTATGTGTTCCGTTGTGACGAGGACACGTGTGTGAAACAGTTGTTATGTGTTCCGTTGTGATGAGGACACGTGTGTGAAACAGGTGTTATGTGTCCGTTGTGACGAGGACACGTGTGTGAAACAGGTGTTGTGTCCGTTGTGACGAGGACACGTGTGTGAAACAGGTGTTATGTGTTCCGTTGTGATGAAGACACGTGTGTGAAACAGGTGTTATGTGTCCGTTGTGATGAAGACACGTGTGTGAAACAGGTGTTATGTGTTCCGTTGTGATGAGGACACGTGTGTGAAACAGGTGTTATGTGTCCGTTGTGACGAGGACACGTGTGTGAAACAGGTGTTATGTGTTCCGTTGTGATGAAGACACGTGTGTGAAACAGGTGTTATGTGTCCGTTGTGATCACGTGTTCTCCCGCCTGCTCCTCGCCAGCTCCGATGTATGAGGACATGGAACAAAAATTTTAAAAAACTTTAAAAATTTTGAAAGCCTAAAAATAATGTGGAAAAGTTTGAAATTAAAAAAAGTAGCATTAAGCGTGTCGAGTTAAATATGGCGGTCGAGAGACGCACCGCCACTCCAGAGAGAACAAAAAAATACGACATAAATAAGTATTACAACTCTCATTTTATATTAAGAAGATGTATATGTATACACCTCTCTCCTTAATGAAGCAGTTGTATACATATATATACATACCTCTACATACATTTCTGAGAGCGGTGCTTGCAAGATCATTGTCTCTCTCTCTCTCTCTCTCTCTCTCTCTCTCTCTCTCTCTCTCTCTCTCTCTCTCTCTCTCTCTCTCTCTCTCTCTCTCTCTCTCTCTCTCTCTCTCTCTCTCTCTCTCTCTCTCTCTCTCATCAACTCTTCAGCGTCCAAATGCTTCTTCAAAAGCACTTTTTAAATCTTCAATAAAAAAGACATTGCCATCCTACACTGCCCAGCCGATACCATGCAAACAGCATTAATAAAATGAAAAAAAGTCTCCTGAAAACCAATTAAAGTTTTAAAAAGTTCCGCTGAACTGCGCTGTGGAAACTTTAGGACGCTAATGTTAAAACTTTTCTAATACCAATGAGATTTCTCATCACAGAGAGGCACAGGTATGTTTCTCATCGTATAAGGGGCCAATATATGTCTCATCGTATATAGACCAACATATTTTCCCATGGTATAGCGAGGTAATATATGTTTCATCATATATATAGCGGCCATTATATATATGTCATTATAGCGGACAACGTATTTCTCATATAACAGCCAAGATATTTCCCATCATACGGCGTCCAAGATATTGCTCATCATATGGCGGCCAATATATTTCTCATATAACGCCAAGCTTGACATCATCATCATTTTGCAGCCATGATATCTCTCACCGTATATAGCCTATATGTTTCTCATAATACATAGCTTAATATATCTCTCCTCATTCATATGCTAATATATTTCTTATCATACATAGGCTAATATATTTATCATCATATATAGGCTAATATATTTCTCATCATATAGCAGCCGAGTTATTCCTCATCATATGTCAACCAAGATATTTCTCATCACACACCCGCTCGCAAAATTTACACACTATATCCCGTTTTCTGTTCTAGGTCCTCTGGTTGGTTAGGATAAGGCCATTTTAGTACGACAGTTTCTTGACTTTGGGAAACCTTAGGAGGACAAGCTGATAGGCTAATGTTTTTGTTTTTAATTTGCGATAAAATGTCGTATTCTGTTGCCTGATTGGTCAATTTCGTGAAAAAATAGGACTGTTGGCGGAGAGATCGCGTTGTTAACGACAGGTCAACGACATCGTTCAGACGCGTCCAGCCTTCGCTCAGTGATCTGAAAAGCTCTAATTTATGGTCACTAATTACATTCCCATATTTTTTTGGCCAATCTTAATTAATTAGTAAACATTTTCAATTTGAATTCATTTGTTTTTTTTTTCTTGTAACTCTATCATCATTTCCTAGCCTCAGAGCTTTACATTTATCAGTATTAAACTGTATTTGCCAATCATTTGACCATTTAATTAAGCAATTTATATTGGTTCCATAAATCAACAACCCTGTTACTGAACCAGTATTTACCCAAGTCTTTCCTAAATCTAAACTTATCCAATTTATACCCATTGTTTCGTGTTTCGGGGCTGAGTAGATACATAAACACTATTTATCTATTAACTGGAAGGAAACTACTAAATTGGTGATAGACTTTATTTTACAGTTAGGTATTAGTTTTTTGAAGAATTTTATTGATTTGTTCTTAACAATATAAAATATTGTTGCCGGTATTAAAGGGAAAGAGGGGGGGGGTAAGTGAATTATTCAGGGGAAAGCGCCAAGCCATTGCGATTATATAGCCCTGGGAAGGGGTCAGGATAAGGATTTGGGATGGGACGGGGGGAAAGGAATGGTGTTCAACCACTTGTTGGACGGTCGGGGATTGAACGCCGAACTGCACGAAGCGACGGGGTGGGGGGGGGGGAGGAATAGGTTAGATCACAGGGAGGTCAATTCGAGGTCAAGACTGTGAGGAATGAGGTCATATAAAGAGTATTACAACGGTACGAAATGTTTATATTAAACACTAAAATCAAGACAGCCGTGTTCACTAGTACAGCCTAACCTTCCTCACATATTAAACACTTCAGCTCTTATCGTATTATGTACACGATATATCTTAACGATATGTGGCATATAAGCGCTGCTGGTTATGATAGGCGATATATAATCAATATGTCTCATTATTTGGATTTTTATACAATATTTTGTTTATGATTTCCGATATTATACGATATTTTTAGGACATGCGATATTTTAATAATTAGCGATAATTATAGAACGTACGTTTTTTTCCATTAACATTATTGTCATGTTAAAATATAATTATATATGTGAGAAAATTATTTTGGGCAATAGGGTGATTTGATCTGGCATGCTGGTGATTCCTAGACACCTCCCTCAACCACTTGGGCACGACGGTAGAGCGACGGTCTCGCTTTATGCAGGTCGGCGTTCAATCCCCGACTGCCCAAGTGGTTGGGCACCATTCCTTTCCTCCGTCCCATTCCAAATCCTCATCCTGATCCCTTCCCAGCGCTATATAACCGTCATAGCTTGGCGCTTTCCCTGATAATTTCCCCTCCCTATATGACCAAGCCTCAACCCATTCGGCCATGATAGGACAGAGGTCAACCAACCTGAAACTCTACTGAATCCACTGGAATGCTCTGAAGGCTCAAACTAGTGCCCAACCAGGATTTTTATGGTCGGCCCGCCTACATTTCTGGCCTGCAGGTAATGGCGGGCTAACTGTACAAATCCTGGTTGGGCACAAGTTCGGGCCTCGAGAACTTCCTGGTGAATTCAGTAGAGTTCCAGGTAGGGTTTTGTCCCATCATGGCCTAATGGGTTGAGGCAGGTGTGTGGTAATCACCAGAACGCCGACGGTTCAAGTCTCCCCCATTGCCAAATTATTTTCTCATTCATATATCACATCACTGAGATTTCTTTGTCGTATATTATATATATATATATATATATATATATATATATATATATATATATGTCGTACCTAGTAGCCAGAACGCACTTCTCAGCCTACTATGCAAGGCCCGATTTGCCTAATAAGCCAAGTTTTCATGAACTAATTGTTTTTCGACTACCTAACCTTCCTAACCTAACCTAACCTAACTTTTTCAGCTACCTAACCTAACCTAACCTATAAAGATAGGTTAGGTTAGGTTAGGTAGGGTTGGTTAGGTTCGGTCATATATCTACGTTAATTTTAACTCCAATAAAAAAAAATTGACCTCATACATAATGAAATGGGTAGCTTTATCATTTCATAAGAAAAAAATAGAGAAATATATTAATTCATGAAAACTTGGCTTATTAGGCAAATCGGGCCTTGCATAGTAGGCTGAGAAGTGCGTTCTGGCTACTAGGTACGACATATATATATATATATATATATATATATATATATATATATATATATATATATATATATATATATATATATACAACTTTAGAACACTTTCCCATCAGGAGATTCGAACCCTATCCAGTACAGAAGCCTTACAGCAACTGGCATAACTGGTACGTCTTTAACCCACTGCATCAAACTCAGTCTGAGTTTGGTGCATAGTGATTTCCAGAGTCTCGTGGGGGGGGGCGTCGATCCCTTTACCCCTTTCAAAGGACATTAGCCTGCCAACGCCCTTCACAATCTCTTGTGCAATTTAGGTGTTGATAGCTGGTAAGACAGTACACTCTGCCAGCTGGCAACACCAGACGGATCACAGAGCATGCTGCTCCACCCATCATGGCGAACATGGGTGGTTTGGTTGTTGTTGTTGTTGTTTAAGATTTGCTACTTGGAACAAAAAGTTCCAAGTAGCACGGGCTATGGTGAGCCCGTTGTGGACTTATCTGGCACTGGAGCGGGGCTGTGAGTAGTTCGGGAGGTTTGGTAAG